GAAAGCTCACATCCCGCACTCCTCCGAGTCTGCATTTGGTGGAGGTCCCCAGCAAAGGAGTAGTGCCCACCCATACTGAGCAGGGGGGATCCACTCAGTCCAGCAGCTATAGTGGTCCACTACACAGCTGGGAGAACTTATTCAAGGGTGTCCATTTCAGCTTCTGGCTTGGAGGTCCACTGTCATACTTTGTGGGGCTCTGGAGTGGGGGCCCTGGGATCCGGTGGAGTGTATGCAGGGATGGTCACAAACAAGCCAGAAATCAGAGAACTCAGGGAGCACCCCCTTGCTTGTGCAGCCAATCCTGTCTCCGGTCAAGGACCTCATATGACCCATGGACCCTCCATCCAGCACCCCAGAATCGGATCTGACTCCACCCTCCCTCTAAACCTCGTTCCTCAAGCTCACATTAGCTAATTTCTTTACCCCCTGCCCAGTGAATGGTGGAAGTGGCCACCATGAAGCCTAGAGGGTTCTAAACTCTAGTCCCCCATCCCTAAACCCTCCAGCCTTCCTCCAGGAAGCCTTCCCTGACTGCTTCTGCCCTCCCTACCCTTATTCTGTCCTCTGAACTCCACTGTCTCAGAAAGTCAGCCCCATACAACTTGCTCACTCCAGGTTCAGGTGCTCCCTGGGTATCTGCCCAGAACCCTCGACTATCCCCCAACACCCCCTCCCACTCTAGTCTTCCCTCCACCACCCACAGCAGGAAGTGAGTGGAGCTCCTCCTTTAGAGAACTCTCTGCTGCGGGCCCAAGGGGCCATCTGGAAGCAGGACGCTGGCATGGACGATGGGAAGCACTGCACTCCAGGTCAGATCGATGCAGAGGCTCCACAGACACTGTGTCTCATGTCTGTTCCTCCTCACTTTCTTCTCGTCTGCTTCTGACCCCCAGGACTGGGTCTGGTCCTCATCCTCCTCCTGTTTCAGGACTCTCCCACTCTTGCTCTGCTAGCCAGACCAGCAGCGCCTCCCTCCACCAAGAGCCCAGCCCCCGGTCAAGCCCAAGTCCTGAATCCACCTGCAGCATCCACTTCCCCTGGGACACACTCTTCCCCGCCCAGTCCTTGGCTGCAGTTACTCTGCCACCTGGTGGCTGCGGAGAAGATTGCTCTTCTCAACCCCCATCAGCAACCGTCTTCATTTTAGCCTCTCAGATGTCTCTTGCTCATACAGAACAGCTATGGCCTGGAGAGAGGATCCACACTGCTGCCTCAGCCCACAATCGCAGCATAAAAGAGTGGAGAGGAGAGGCAGGAACTCAAGGGACCAAGAGGGAGGCGGACAGCCAGAGAGAAAACGCCAGGAGTGGGGCGGAGCATCCACTACTGTTAACACTGTAAACTAACCACAAATACCACCAGCAGCTAAACTCAGTGACCACCAACCACTCACTAATGGTAAATCCACTGTCCGCATGGACAACTAACTCTAACTGTAAATGTTAACCAATGGCATCCACACTAACAAAGCTAGCGGCTGAAGTCCTCGCCTTACACATGCCAGAATCCCACATGGGCACCAGTTCTAAACCTGGCAGCCCTCTTCCCATCCAGCTCCCTGTTTGTGGCCTGGGAAAGCAGTTGAGGATGTCCTAAAACCTTGGAACCCTGCACCCGCATGGAAGACCCCGAAGAGGCTTTGGGCTCCTGGTTTTGTATCAATTCAGTTCCAGCCATTGCAGCCTCTTGGGGAATGAATCATTGGACGGAAGATCTTTCTCCCTGTCTCTCCTCTCTGTATATCTGACTTTCCAATAAAAATAAAATCTTTTTTTAAGCTGAATGAAACACCAAGATACACACACACACACACACACACACACACACACACACACCAGTGTGCTAGCATCACTACTAGTACACAGCAGACACAGGTTAGAATTCAGAGAATCAAAGACGTTTCAATGACAATAATCATGTGAACCACTACATAGTGAACAAAAACACACAAGACTGAATTTGGGGAGGCTGTTTGCCAAGTGGCAGCTTACCCCACCTGGCCACAGAGTTGACTCACACGTTCTGTTTCTTAAACCTAGAAGCTGTATGCAGACAGAAGTCACAGACTATTCACCCTTGAGGTGTGTAACTCCATGGCTTCCACATCATCAGAGAACTGGCAGTAATCATCATGATCTGATTCCAGAAATTTTTGACACCATTCCCTTTAAAACTGTGTGCAATAGCAATCGCTTGCCCATTCCCACCTCCGGGCCCCGGTGATCCCTGATCCTGTCTCCTTGGAATCCCCCATTTCTGATACTTTGCACCAATAGGATCATGCAATGGGTGGCCTTTTGTGATTTTGACTGGTAAAGCTTTTCATGTTTCATTGTATGAGTATCTACCTGGCTCTACCCTATTATGGAATGAACACTCTGTTGAGTGCACCTGCCACATTTGGTTCATCCCTTTAACCACTGATGGAGGCTCAGGCACTTCTACTTCTTGACACTCCTGGCAGTAAGGGTATTATGGACATCTGCACACAGGTGTCGGTGTCAAGCTGCACACACTGAAGTGGATTTGCTGAGTAACTCGACTCTGGACTTTGGAGGAACTGTCAAGCTTTTTGCCAAAGCTGCTACTCCCTCTGTGTTCTCACCACTCTGTCTCCAGTTTCCCCACATCCTTGCCAGTACGTGTGAATAGCCATTTCCTCCAACCATGAATCCACACGCCTGTGAGATGGTCTCTCCTTTAGTTTTGATTTGCACTAACATCTAATGACGTTGAACATCTTTCCATGTGCTCATTGGTCACATGTGTGTATCATGTATGTTGTTCTTAGGCATAAAAACAAGGTGCAAACTTATAAATAGAGTGTGGTCTCAGGACATTTCAAAAATGTTGAGAAAAAGAGTCAGCAAACACATACTTCTCACTGATTAAGTATTTTTTAAAAAATATTATTTGTTTTTATTGGAAAGGCAGATTTACAGAAATTTAGAGAGAGAGGTCTTCCATCCACCGTTACTTGGCCACAGCAGCCAAAGCTGAGTTGATCTGAAACCAGGAGCCAGGAGTTTCTTCCGGGTCTCCCACATGGGTACAGGGTCCCGAGGTTCCTGGGCCATTCTCTACTGCTTGCTCAGGCCATCAGCTGGGAGCTAGATGGGAAATGGAGCAGTCAGGACACAAACTGGCACCCATACGGGATGCCAGTGCTCACAGGTATAGAGGATTGGCCTGTTCAGCCACCATGCCGACCCCTTCACTGATAGGTCTTTAGGGAATGAAATAATGGCTGACTTTTTAGCAATCTATTTACTTATTTGAAAGGCAGAGTAGCAGAAATGAAGAGGGATCCTCTGACTGCTGATTTACTTCCCAAATGGCTGCAGCAGCCAGGGCTAGAGCCAGGCTGAAGCCAAGAGTCAGGAGGACTCCAACTGAGTCTCCCACATAGGTGGCAAGAACCCAACTTCATGAGCCATCAGGAACTGCCTCCCAGGTGCACTAGTGGGAGGAGCCAGGATTTCCATATGGGATGCAGGCATCCGAAGCAGCGGCTTAACTCACTACATCCTGTGGCATGCCCGTTTTGTCAGTCTCTGAACCTGGAGGAAGAGCTGTATCTGCGTAGGGGAACTTCAGGCCAGGCCACCCTCTGACATCCATCTGACCGAGAAGGTGCCAGACAGCTGCATCTTCCTGCGTCTCCTTTCGGCAGGGCCTTCACGACTATCAGGGGCTGCATGCCCATCTACCCTTTCCATCAGGTGCACACCTGTGCCCTGGCTCCCACATGGGATTCCTGGTCCTCCTGTTTGCAGTATAAAAGTAAGGAAATCTGACCCACACAGGCTGTGGGAAGAAAACTTAGGGACTGAGTGCTAAAGGGAGGGTCCCCACTCTGGGAAGCAGGGGCCCAGGAGGAAAGCAGCCAGGGTCAGGACAAGTGCACCCTGCCAGCATCCCAAGGGGCAGAGGATGCACGAGGGTAATTGGGAAAAGAGGGCAAATGGTAGGAAAGGTGGCTGCAGTGACAGAAGGCTTCCTGGAGGCAGGGGCATGGAGTGGAGTCGCACAGGCCAGGACTGGGGTAGATAGACCAAGAAGAGGGAAAATCCCACATTTTTCATATGGAGCGCTTTCTGCCAACATTCTATCCTGAGCTCTCCTGCCCACCCCTCAGTTAACAGGCAGGTTCCCATGGACAGTGCCCTGTGCATCTCACTCTTCAATCCTGCCAGGAGGATGGGTGAAGGGGTTAGAGGTGTGGCCATGGTACGTTAGGGGCCCTCACTTGGGGTGGGGAGCAGCAAGGCTGGGATACAGGAGGAGGAGAGAGTCCTAGAGTTGGAGCAGCTCCACTTCAGATGGCTCAAGGCACAGAAGAGCTGTTCCTGTCCATTGGCCCCCAGGGAAATACACACGGGAACAACAACGCAACAAGGCTGCTTCCCACAGACAAACCACTTCTTGGCCCCAGAAGAATGCTGGCAGAGTGTGGCCACACACACTGGAGAAGAAACTTGGAGACCAGGTTGGACAAAATACACACACTGCCAGGACAGGAACAGAGTGGCCAGGAATGAGCAAGGATGCTGTTCACAAACAGGAGATGGTGATGCAGTGGAAACCGCAGCTGTGAGTCCCAGGTCAGCTCCAATGGTGGACACGCTTCCATGGGGAGGAGATGGGGGCACAGTCACTCGCCCTCACCTATGCTTGCTGACAAGTTCTTTGGCTCCTCCAGGCTTCATTTCCCAGGAGAAGGAGCCAGCAAAGGAGGGGGAAGGGGCTCCAGCAAGAGACAGGAGAGGAAGGGAGACCCCTGCCCAGAGCTGGGCAGCAGCTGGGAGAGAAGCCAGCTCCAGAGGCTCCCATGGGTCTCTTTCTTCCCAGGAAAGCGGAGTTGGGGGGCACTCTAGCTGCTCAAGGGCAGGTGCAATTGTGGGCTACAAGCTCTGGTGATTCTGTGATATGGTGGTTGTATGTTGCCATTGCATCTTGTGGAGGTTGCATGTGGTAGGCAGCCTACCATACAGCTGTCAACACCTTTGCCCCTGCGGGGAAGGCACTGACCACCTAGCACGTGTCCTCCGGGCTGGCAGAAGCTCAGGGTCATGGCCGTGCCATTTCCGGGAGATCTCAGTCCTCACCTGTGGTGGGGAGGGAAAGGAAGTTAGGAAGGTGTTGCTGCCACTCTGCTACTTGGTGCCAGCAAGCCTGAAGGTACAGGGAGGGGCTGTGCCAGCACTAGAGACACGGAGCAAGGGTGGCTGGGTGGCCACTGCTGAATATTGCCCCCCTCCTGTGCACATCTCTCTCAACTTCCTTTAGTTCCCGTCTTTCCCAGTAGCACTACGTCCTCTGAAAATGTCTTACGGACACTTTCCAGAGCTCCTGGCCAGATGCCACCTCAGCTCCTGCGCCAATGATTCTGCCACCCCTTCTGTCCTTGATGCATTCACGTTCATTTTGATCCAGGAGCTCAGGACCAACACCCACACAGGAGCCCAAAAGGCAAGATGGCGTAAGATGGGATTTGCAGGGCCTGCGCAAGGAAAGCGGAGGCAGGGGTTCGTGAGGAAGGGGTGGGCAGGATCGTCACGCACCTCTTGGTTGAGGAAGCAATAAAGGATGGCAACGATGAAGCCCTGTGGGTCAAGAGGAAGGGCCCCATCACAACGCTGGCCTGGCCTCAGTGATTCCTACACCTTGTCCCACTCACCCCAGGTGGGGAGAGGGCAGCGTCTGTGCCAAGGGAGCTTAGAGGCAATCACCAGGACCATGTGCCACGTATGTGTCCCAGACAACCTGTCCAAGTCAGCCTGCTGAGGCGACACTCCCGTCCCCACTCCCATGACGTGATTTCCCTTCCCCCTTCAAGGGCACCTGGCCTGGCACATAATGGATGTTTGGTAACAGGTTGAACGGAGGCTGGGAGAGGGATAACAGGTGGCGGATGGGATGCATGAATGAACAACAACCCTCACCCCACCCCAAAGTCAGCTCCTCCCTCCTGCCCAGGGATGCACAGGTGTGAGGATGGGGGAGAGGGCTTCACCTGGAAGGAGCCCAGGCCCAGCTCCAGGGGCAGACGGACGCCCAGGCCTGTGTGGTCAGGCAGGAAGTTGAAGATGATGTAATGAATTCCAAACAGTGGGATGAGAAGGAGTGTGGACTTGGAGAGACGCCTACAAGAGAGGCAGAGCAGCCTCCGAGGCTGGTGGAAGCCCCCAGGAGCAGCCTGCCCCCACTCACTCTCCACCGGCTCCTCACATCCACTCCACTCTGCACAGCCCACCTGGGCTTCCTACCTGCAGGGCCCTGAACCCCGCAGTGCCCTCTCCAAATGCTGCTATCTCCTTTTTTCTCCCCAAATCGCGTTCAAAGACCACTTCCTTCAGGAAGTCTTCCCTGGTCACCCTCACCCCGCTCCCATCTAGGAAGACTCTCCTTCCCCCAGTCATCACAGACATGGATCCCAGCACCCATCCACGGTGAGGCCTGGTAACAGGCCGTGGGGAGTGCCCATCCTTCCCGCGTTGTGGCCTCCTGGAGAGCAGGGCCAGATGCATCCTCTAACTGGGAGTGCAGAGGGGAGCAACTGACACGGAGCTATGGCGGATCTCTTCCCTGTGGGCCTCCAGCATGCACACGTATGCACAAACTCCTGCACATGCATGTACATGTATGTGCCAGCACATGCACACAGCACACACGCATCTGTGTGCTCCCCCACATACATGCAGGCACACATCCATACACACTCACGGTACCAATACTGAGCCTGGGTGTGGAGGCTGCCCTGAGCCAGCTCCAGTTTCCTCAGCAGGATGCGGATGATGTTGAGAAATAGCCCGAAGTTCACCTGGATGTAAGGTGGGAGGGAGCAGAAAGGTGAAGGACAAGGCTAAGGAGAGGCCCTTGTGACCAGGGGTGGGGCTGAGCGTAGGAACCCCCAAGTTCCTGAACTATCTGCATGGGCAGCAGACAGACGTGCAGACCAGCAGAGCACCTTGCCAAGGACCCGGGAGGTCCCCACACAGACCCAGGAAGGTAGGGGAGGGCTCGGGATCCCTTCCCTGTGCAGAACCAAGAGCAACAGGGGCAGAGCCGGACCCTGTCCCCGCCCATGGCCGCCACCTCCCAGATGCCATGGCTTGTTTTGTGCACCTGTCTTCTAGGAGGGAGCCTGCCCTTCCCACCCAGCCACTCACTGCTGGCTGGATGATGGACAACCAGCACTTCCAACACTCAACACTCAGTGCTCTGGCAGCAGATTTTCAGCACTCATGGACACCACCCCTGGCTTTGACAGTAGATGCTGAATAATCCCAGCCATGCTAAATGAGGCCCAAAGACACAAGCGCAGGGACTGACCCCAACAGAGAGGACGATGGGCCCTTTGATGATCCACCAGTAGGGGGAGCTGTCGTCCAAGTCCCAGCACCTACGAAAAAAGGCAGATTGTGTTGATGAGCAGCGATGGAGTTGGGTGACAAGAATGCAACCTCTGCTGCATCTCCTTTTCTTCCATGGCCCCTGCACCTGCCCCGCTACCTGCACCTCACATCCCCACGGGCTACACACCAGCTCCCAGCCCCACCACTCCCTCCACAATCTTCTCTCCCCACTTCCAAACTGGGCTTACCCCAAGGTTGAACTTGGCAGTAGCTCAGTTGGTAGCCTCTTCCTCCAGGAAGTCCTCCCTAACAGCCCTCATGGCCTGAGTCCCACAGCCCTGAGACTCCAGCCCCTTGTCTTGCCCCCCCCCCCGTGCTGTGCTGTCCACAGGCTGGTCCCCCACTCCATCCTCTACCCTGCTTCCTACCCAACCTGGCAAGCACCGGACAGGTGCCTGACTCTCCTATAGCCCAAATGACCCATTGTGAGTGTGATGAGGTGGCACTTAGACTTACGCTGCATCCTCGAAGGCCAGCTTGCAGCCCACCCACGTGCCAATGCACAGCAGGGGCAGCCCTGTGGGGCGGAGGGAAGATTTCAGAAGGGTCCAAGATTCTCACGCTACTGCGAGCCCCTCCCCTCTGCGGACTACAGGGGGCCTCCTTCGGAGAGATGACCAAAACTGGGGCACCCCCAGACCCCCACCTCCCCACTCATGCCCCAACCCTGCCTTGCCCCAACAGGCTTCTGTGCTTACCCCAGCCAGCCAGAACCAGCCACCAGAAAGCCTTCCTGGAGCCAGGGGAGGGGGAGGCGAGGAGGAAACTCAAGTAGACAGCTTCCACCAACAGCCAGCTGAAGTTGGTCAAAGTGGCGAAATGGGAGGTGGCCACGGCCACCTTGCACAGAACCTGGGAGCAGGGGCTTGGGTGCATAAGTGCTGACCCTCCACTGGACATATCTTCCCCATCTCCCCATCGTGGCTTCCACTCCTAGCTCCAAAGCCACCTCCTCCCTGAAGCCCTCTCTGATTTCCTCCCAGCTCTTCCTTCACCTGGTGGTCCCACGGGCTTTCCGGAAGGACTCAGCTCCACCCAGCTCTGGAGGGTTGTGCTTGGGGGTGGTGGGAAGTGAGATAAGTGGCTGGGCACAGTGAAAGGTGGCATGGTTGGACATGGTTGTGGAGGATGCAACATAGAAAAGGGTGTGGTTGACACCGTGGTCCAGGAAGGCAGAAGAAGGGAAGGGGGGGTTGCTTTCCTACTCTGTGATTGGCCACAAAGGAGTGAGGGCCGCGCCCACAGGATCGCCTGCCCACCCCTCGTCCCTGCTCCAGAGCCAGCACCGTGGAGAAGCTGCAGTGATCAATCCCGTCGCCAGGGAACAGCATGGCGTCCTTCAGGAACACAGCTCCCGCCTTGAGGATGAAGGTGACGAACAGCTGCGTGTGGATGTAGTTCCGGGGGCAGTGCAGCCTCCTGCAGGGGCAGGTGTGTGTGAGGAACTGAAGGCCAGGTGGGTGGGGCCTGGCTGGGCTGGGCCTTGGGGTGAGCAATGGAATGGAAGCTAATGCTCCTGAGCTGAACTTGACTTTTCAATGTTAGCCCTGCAGGTATACAGCCTTCTAGGCTAACATTGCTCACAGCTGCCCCAAGGCTCACTGTCAGGAGAGGAACAGAGAGAAAGCCTGGTGCCTGGGGACACAGAGCAGCATGGGCACGTGCTGCCCATGGGCACCCCGAGGGAAGGGTGCAAGCGAGTCCTGGGGCCACACTGCTCATACAAAGCACAGACTTGGGAGATACAGCCCACAGCATCCCTGTGGTCCCCAGAGGGCACATCCAGACATCTGAGGAAGAAGGTCAGAGAAGTTCTTACCCATGGGACACAGTAGGGCTTGGGCCCCGGGGGAGGAGAGGTGCGGGGAGGGGCTGGGCCTCTAAAGGCTGCAGGATTAGCAGAGGATCCCTAGCTGGCCTTGCAGTTGCGACCAAAACCGCAGAGATAAAGGGAGCGCTGCAGCAGCAGAGTGAGCCCCACAAATACAGGAGCATGTAGGGGTGGGTGTGTGGGGGCAAGAGGGTGCCAGGGCCTGGGACCCTCCTGACCGCCCAGACTTATAACTCCAGGCACTAGGGAGCCAGGGAGGCTGCAGAGCAGGAGCTGAAGATGACCCACCTGAAAGAGAGTAGGATGGCCATGGCCACGGCCAGGGCCACACTGGAGAGGCTGTGGCCAACGGTGTAGACAGTCTTCATGGTGGAGAAGTAAGTGTTCTGGGGAGTACAGAGATGGAGGGACGGCTCAGCCGCCAGGCCCTGGGGAGAGGCAGGCCTGCCGACCAGCAGGTGCAGCTGTGAGGCCCGCTCTGGCTTCCCCGCCGGTGCAGAGGGCTGTGTCAGGGCTACGGGAGCTCCCCGTGTGCACGGAGGCACTGGCTCTCAGCACCCACCCGGTCTCCCACTCAAGCTGCTGGCAAGGGAGAGTGGGGACAGGGACAGATCGGGGAGGGGGGCCGCTTGAGGATGTGGCACTTCCCTGGGGAATGACAAGAGCTCAAGAGGAAATGGGGCTGTTTATTGACATCCAGTTTGCTCACCAGCTCGGGAACACAATGTTCCCATAGGAAGGGACAGCCACCAGCAGGCTGGGACAACACTTCCCAAACCCACGTGTCTGGATCGATCAGAGGCCAGTCTGCTCCCGAGAGACAGAGCTGGAGAGGGTGGGGGGAGGGCAGGCCACAAAAGGGAGCAGGGCCCAGGCCTGGTCCCACCCCAGCGCTCCTGTGGGCCGCAGCACTCACTGGTGCCCTGCGGCTCATTCTTGCTATCTGAGAAGTGGGCACATTCATGTTTTACCGTTCAGGACTTGGAGGTGGGCAGAGGATTAGAATGATGGCTGAGGAGGGACCTTGCCAAAACCCCAGCTGCACATACAGGAGGGAACTGGCTGAGGGGACAGGGCCTTGACCACACTTCTCTCCTTAGCCCATTCCACAGCTATGCAACCTGCTCTGTGGACCAAGGACCAGGATCCCAAGAAGGGAGGCACTTGCCTTGGGCTTCCCGCAGCCCTGGCTTTGCCTAAAGCTCCATGATGCCCTGGACGTACTATTTGTCAAGGAGACAGGGCCCTGCGCAGTAGCCTTGCAGTTAAAGTCCTCACCTTACACGTGCCAGGATCCCATATGGGCGCCTGTTCTAATCACAGCGGCCCTGTTTCCCATCCAGCTCCCTGCTTGTGGCCTGGGAAAGCAGCCGAGGACGGCCCAAAGCCTTGGGACCCTGCACCCATGTGGGAGACCCAGAGGAGACTCCTGGCTTCAGATCGACACAGCTCCGGCCATTGCAACCGTTTGGGGAGTGAACCGTTTGGGGAGCGAATCATCAGATAGAAGATCTTCCTCTCTGTCTCTCCTCCTCTTTGTATATCTGACTTTCCAATAAAAATAAAATAAATCTTTTTTAAAAAGTGGGGGGGAGGGGGCTGTTCCTGGGTAGGCAATGAACTAGCAAAAGACCTGGACTCTTGACACAGTCCCGCCCTCTGCTGGCCGAATGCTGTAATGACTATGCAAATGCTCCAGCGTGCAGTAGCCTCCTACCTCCTCCATCAGCAGCTCCAGGGGCACTGGACAAGCCACGAGGTAAGGCGGGAAGGGCTCAGACCAACCCGTGACTGTGCAGTCCCGCTGTACAACCCCTGCGAGGCAAGCAACAGTCTCCGTAACAGCTCAGTCCCAGCCCCAGGCAGGGCTGGGAGAGCCAGGGGCCAACAGGTACACCTTCTACCAGGGGCCGGGTCCTGGGACAACTCTGGTCTTAAAAGCACCATCAGTGAAGCAGAAAAACTCCAAGTTGGATCTCCACCATGCTAGGGGCAGCAGGGAAGAGAGCAGACCTGCTCTGTGTCCCCAAGGGACGGTGCACCCTGGACAGACTAGGCTGAGCAGTGGGCTTCTGGTCCTAGCCTCCCTTGTACTGGGCAGCCACACACACTGGAAGCATCCATGACCCACCCCCCGCCCGGGGGGGGGAACCATGTCCCACTGTGCTGTCAGCACTCCCTAGGCCACACAGGAGGAGGGCAATCCAGTACCCAAACCCAGGTCTGCCTGTCCCCAGAGCCAGCCGCACGTTCCACAGCATCTCACCTGTCCCCCACACCCTCAGAACCCCTCACCTGGTACTGAGCTGAAGTGAGAGAAGAACTCTGGGCAGGGGAGGGTGACCCACTCGCCGGAGCGCACTGCGGGCCAGCACAGCAGCCCGTCCCAGATCTGCGGGCAGCCTAGACAGAGAGCTGTGAGTGGAGACACCCCTGCCCACCTTGTGGTGGAGGCCACAAGGCTAGAGCCGGGAGGAGTTGGGGGTCCTCAAGGCCACCACCGCCCACTAGAGCCTGCCCATACCCAGGGTGGCGTTAGGTGTCTCCCCTGCTGCGTGGAGACAGGTGTTCTCGTCCTCTTGTAACTTGGTGATGAATTCACACTCGGGTAGGTACATCTGGCCCAACACCTGACAGGAAGGGTGTATAGAGTGAGCCCCATCTGTGGGGGTCTCTGCACGTCCCAGTGACGTGGGGGTACCCACGAAGCTGACTCATGGGCCTGCCTGGCGCTGATGCTAAACCCCGGCTGACTCATGCTGTTCTCGGGAGTGTTTGAAGGACATGGGGGAGGTGGGTGGATGGAAGGCAGGGTCAGGCAGAGGTCTGTGCTTGAGCTGCCAGGGTGGGGACCGTGGATGGCGAGTGACCATGGGGTGGGGAGCAGGGGATTCAGGAACCTCACAGCAGGCTGAGGAAGCCAGGAGAGAACCTGGAGGCCCAGCCCAGAAGGTGGGGTCACCCCCACTAACTCGCCCCGATAGCGAGGGAATCATTCAGGTCTCCAGCTGCTTTTGTCCCCAATCCAGCCTGGGCTTCATCTGCTGCCTTCCCCCTGGGAGCCCTGGGCTGCAAGTGTCACTTTCTATGCAATGGGTACCCAGACCTAGCTCTCAGCTTTGTCCCCTAGAGCTCAGAGCCCATGGGTGACAAAACAGAATCCCCTTTCCACCCCCTACATTCCCCTATGACACCATGCATGGTGGGGTAGCGAGGAAGGGAGCTGAGCTCTTCTGGGGCCGGCCTCAGATCCATCTTACTCAGCCAAGCCCCAGCACTGCTGTCCCTGACTCCTCCATGATGCTGCGGAGCCCTGTCCCTCCCAGGCTCCCACACTGTCACCATAGGATTCGAGTGTAGGTCAGGGAGTCTGAGAGATGGGCAGGGGAGAGATCTGGAGAACTTCCTGGAGGAATTGATGAGGACAGAGAGCTCAGAAACACAGCAGGCTCACGGAGAGGCAGAGGACCTGACCTTGCAGCCTCTGGGGACAGACGGGGTCCCCGTGGGCCCCAGAGGGCGCAGCCAGTTGCTAAAGAGGACACTTTCATAATGAAAGATGTCTGAGTCAGCATCAGCTGCCTGGGGGAGAAGTGTTGGACGGGGAGGGTAGTGGGAAGCCGGACCTCCCCAAGCTCTCCCCCTTTCTGGGGAGGCATTGGACACTGCCCACCCTGCACCGTGGGGACACTGAATGCCCTGTATCTCCCCTATTGGAAGCCCAGCAGGTGATGCAGGTGAATCTGACCCATCTACTCACAGCAGGTAGCAGGACCAACAGGCAGGCTTTCCATACCCAGGCGCCCATGGCAGGGGGACTGCAGGTGTTGGGTCCCTCGATCAGCCTCCGGTGTTCTGGGTCCCACCTTCCTTTCCTCTGTCCCCTCAACTGGTGCTGTCACCCAAGTGCCCTCTGCCCACCCTTCCCAGGAGACTGCTTGCATAGGCAGGAGCCTGTGCAGGGCACACAAGCAGGTGAATATTCACGGCCACGGCAGCACACAGTGCCCTTGTGAACTCTGTGTTCCTAGCAGGGAGGGGCTGAGTGGCACCTCCAGCTGTGGCCCCTCTGCCCCAGGGGGTCCTGCCTGTGGGTCTGTCCTGACTGTAAGAATCCAGGAGATGGCAACCTCAGGGCTCTTCTGCCACAGGTACTCAATATTCTCCACTGTCTTTTTGGGGCACACACACAACTCTGGTGGCTCAGGCTGGTAATAACTCCACCATAGACAACAAGGGGAGACGTGGGTCTGACCACAGTAAGCACCTGGCTGGTGACACTCCCAGACTAAGCCCTGGAGCTCAGAGCTGCCACCAGAGGCAGAGCAATGGGCAGTAAGGGTTGGCAGGCTAGGACGCATTGGGAAGGCCAGCATTGTGGCATTGTGGGTGAGACCACTGCCTGCAAGGCTGGCATTCCATGTGACCCCTGGTTTGAGTCCCAGCTGCTCTGCTTCCAGCCAAGTTCTCTGTTAATGTGCCTGGGGAAGCAGAAGATTGCCCAAATACTTCACACCCTGCCACCCATATGGAGACCTGGAAGAAGCTCCTGGCTCCTGGGTTTAACCTTACTCAGCCTCAGCTGTTATAGCCATTTGGGACATGAGCCAACAGGTCTTTGTCTTTCATCTTCTCTCTGTCACTCTGCTCTTCAAATAAAGAAATAAAACTTTATTTTAAAGGTAAATTTCACAGAGAGAGAGAGAGATCTTCAATCTGCTGGTACACAATGTCCAGAGCTGAGCCAATCTGAAGTCAGGAGCCAGGAGCTTCTTTCAGGTCTCCCACATGGATACAGGGTCCAAGAGCTTGAGTCATCTTCTGCTGCTTTTCCAAGCTATAAGCAGAGAGATGGGTCAGAAGTGGAGCAGCCAGGACAGGAACCGGTGGCCATATGGGATGCCGGCACCTACAGGCAGGGATTAGCCTGTTACACCCTCAATCTTGAAAGCAAGAAAGAAAAGAAAGGAAAAGAAAAGAAAAGAAAAGAAAAGAAAAGAAAAGAAAAGAAAAGAAAAGAAACGAAAAGAAAAGAAAAGAAAAGAAAAGAAAAGAAAAGAAAAGAAAAGAAAAGAAAAGAAAAGAAAGGAAAAGAAAGGAAAAGAAGGCAAAGGAAAAAGGATGCACTGATTAGAAAATGTCCCACTGGAGGGACCTAGCTCCTCAATCTGACTAGGACACCAGTCTGAATGGCAAAGTGACATCTGCAAATATCACAGCTCTGGACTTCATATGGGGCTGGTCAGAGTCTCTGCAAGAGCAGGAAGGGAGGCCAAATGGAGGCTCACAAAGGGATGTGGGGATGTGGCCCAGCCTGCCCCAGGGTGAGAGAACCAGCAGGAGCAGCAGAAACAAGGCTTGCACAGCCACCCAAATTAGCTTCACTGTCCACTCAACCTTATTATAACTTCAGACTTAATCTTTTTAAGAGATTTATCTATCTATCTATCTATCTATCTATCTATCTATCTATCTATCTATCTATCTACTTACTTGCTTGCTTACAAGGCAGGTTGAAAGAGGGATGGATGGAGATGAAGAGGGAGAGGGCAATTTCCCACCCACTGGTTCATTCTTCGAATGGAACCGATGACCAGGACTGGGCCAGGCCAAAGCCAGCAGCTTGGAACTCCATCTGAGACATCCAGATGAGTGGCAGGGGCCAGCCCAAGGACTTGGCCATCCTGTGTTGCCTTCCCAAGTGCACTGGCATGGAGCTGGATCCGAAGCAGAGCAGCCCAGGTGCAAACCAGGGCTCCACTATGGGATACTGGCATCACAGACAATGGGTTAGCCAACAACACCACAAGGCTGGTCCCCGTTTCAGACTTTGAAATACAGATTCCTTCCTGGTCAGGCTCAAGACAATGCTCTCAATTCTCTGGACATTTTGGAATTGGAAAGCACATTTTTCTCTTTGAATGTCCTGGTAGCTGGCAGATGGCAGTGCCGGCCGCAGGACACACCAGCCGCGTGGGCAGCCTGGCACATGTCATGAATGTGGAAGCCACCTCGCCCCCTCATCTGGGCGTTAGAAGCGTCTGACATCAACAGGGCTCTGTTTTTCCATCTCTCTTCATTGACAACAAGATGTTGGAGAAAAACATATTGAAAAAACATGAGCCACCTGAGGCCCCAACCTGTCCTATCTGTGCACAGGTGTGTTCTATATTATCATCAATAGTGATGGTTAATCACATATATAAATGTGCTCATTAACAGCACTTATTACCCAGGTTAGTGGCTTTTACCAGGGAGCCTATTTGTGCCATTCTTAGGGTGAGGGATAATTGCACCTGTTGGAGACACTTTTTATGGTCACCCTCAGCAGTGAGGAATGCTGAAAGAGGGGTGGGAGGGGTGGAGCCCAAGGATGCTGTAAGAAAGAACTGCCAGACACAACCTGACCCCGGCAGCCACAGAGAGGACCGTCCACTCCACAGGTCCATAGGGCCAGGACGGAGGGGACTGATTCACCATGAGTGTTCTGCCCACTTTTTCCAGGCTCCCGGGGGAGCTGTCCTCCATCCTCCAGTTCTGTCTGCTGGTATTCAGGGTTCAAATTCTGCCTCTTCTGTCTGCTACCATAACACAGGCCAGCTCTTTAGCCTTTCGGACATACGGTGGCAATGCTGATGCTATTCTTGCCACTTTGGTGGTATAAGTAGACAAGGACAGACGTGGGTGGTGCCTCCAACAGAGTTTACCTCTCAGTGAACAGGCGAGAAGGGCGGCGTGTCCAAGCTGCTGCTACAGCACAGTGGATTCGGGTTCTGTTAACAATGCCAGCATCCCACAGCGGAGTGCTGGCCTGAGTCCCAGCTATTTCACTTCCAATGCAGCTTCCTGCTGATGCTATCCATTGACCCCCTTGTGTAGGAGCTTGTGGGGTTGTTCCTGGCTCCTGGATTCTGCCTGACACAAACATGGCCATTGTGGCCATTGAAGAAGTGAACCAGTGGATGGAAAATCAGTCTCTCCATCTTCCCTTTCTCTGTCACTTTGCTTTACAAATAAATGAATAAATAAGTAAACAAATGTATTTTTAAAGGTTGCATATAACAAGGATTATTAGCAAATAAGGTTGGAATAACTGATTCTTTGCATGGGAAAAAATGAGACTCTTAGTTCACTTTTATAAAACTTTAGCTCTTTAGCTTTTTATAAAACTTGAAGCTCCTCGCTCCGAGTTTCTGCCTGGCCCAGCCGCAGCAATTGTGGCCATCTGGGGACTGAGAGAGCAGCTGGAAAATTCTCTCTCTCCTTCCTTATAACTTTTTCAAATGAATAAATAAACCTTAAAAGAGAGAGAGGGAGAGAGAGAGAGAGAGAGAGAGAGAGAGAGGGAGAGAGAGAGAGAGAGAGAAAGAGAGGGAGAAAAGAGAAAGAACAGTTTGTCCTCTGACCAGCCCACTTGTAATACACAAAGCCTTCATAGTAAGAGAGAATTAGCCCTAGAGCCCTAGAGTGAGGCTGCTTGGACCCATTCCAGGAAAGATTAGTGCAGACCTAGAAAGAGGCTAAAAACATAGCATCACAAAGGGCAAAGATCCAACACCATAAATCAATACAACAGCAACCAGAAACCAACAGTGTGAAATGCACTGTATCCAACCTCTAATACAGAATGGTTAGGTATACACAGGAGTAATAAAATCTAGCCTGTAGCCACAGTGAGAATCAACCCATTAAAAACAGAGCTAGATGTGATCCAGAAGGGGGATGAAGGGAGACCAGCAGACTCGGACATGGCAACGGTCCATACAAGCACTCCAGTTTGTCTTTCAGAAAGGGGAGTGCAGCCAAGAGGAGTGAGGAAGGAAGCTGTCACCAAGAAACCCAGATCCCACTGTGAAAATTAAAATGCAATACCTGAAGTAAAAAAAAAATATATATATATATATTAGTTATTATCAACAATGGAATAGCTGTTGTGTAACAAAGAGCAATAAACATGAAGATAGCATAGCACACAAATAAACTATCTGAATAAACTCACATACAGACTTTCAAAAATGAAGAGAACAGGTTCATTGTGAGACCATATCAAATGGTCTAACTCGCCTTAAACTGGAGTTACAGGAGGTTAGAAATTTAGAAAATGTACTGGAAGGAAAAAAATAGTTGAAATGATACCGAAGTTAATGAAAAATACATATGTGCATCCAAGAATTCAATGAATGGCAAGGAGAATAAACAAACAAAAGCACTCCAAGGCCCTGATCATTAACATGATGAAAACAAGCCATACAGGGAATGTCTTATCAGCAACAAGAGGTCAAAACACACCTGGTGTACAGAGAACAAACAGCAGGCTTCCCATGGGAAGCTGTGCAGGCTGTAGGGAGAGGGGTTTCAAACACACTCACAGAAGATTTCTGAACTCTAACTCTCGATTGTTCAAGTGAGACAAGATCATTCATGGCCAGCTCAGCTACACCAAGACAACTTTGAAGGAAGCTCCTTTAGCCAAAAAGAACATGAGAGCAGAAACAGGGAACTTCCCTAAGACGGACACTCACTGGAAATGGTGAAGAAGAAGCTGCAAATGCAAGGTTGTTCTTTTTCTCGTTTTACACACCTTAGAAGGTGATTGACCCTTGCAAATACACATGAAGCTATCAGGTCACATTCAACAGGAGATGAAGCCAAATTGTGTTAGTCCACAGTACGAGAATGGTCCCGTACAAGAAAATGAATCCTTCTCGTAGAATGAAGAGGAAACGTGAAATGATGCAGAAAAGGACATCACAAAATCCAACTCCCTTTCAAGAGAAAAGCTCTTCCACGAGTTAGGAACAGAAGAGC